TTTTCTTGTGAAGTAGTGTTTAATTAGGGTTAAAAACTTTCTTGATCTTCTTTTTATCAGAGAGTTCCAAATTTAATTGGTGGCAGCTTTGTAGATTCACAATCATCAGAATTCGTTGATGTGATAAACCCAGTAAGTTTATCTGTTAAAGTTGCAATCTTTTACCTGGAATGCTAATACTTGGGGAAATTTATAATTGCTTGAGTTTTGATCATAGGCAACCCAAGAGGTGGTTTCTCAGATACCTTTAACAACGGATAAAGAATTCAAATCTGCGGTTTCTGCAGCCAAGGAGGCTTTTCCGTCATGGAAAAACACACCCATAACCACAAGACAACGGGTCATGCTCAAATTCCAAGAGCTTATTAGGAAGAACATGGTTTGTTTTTGTCGGATTACCGTATCTTTCTGCAGTTCTTTGCTTGTGATCTCTGTTCTCTTAATTTATCCTGTGTCTGTTCTAGGATAAGCTTGCCTTCAATGTGACTACGGAGCAGGGAAAAACACTGAAAGATGCACAAGGGGATGTGTTCCGCGGTCTTGGTTAGTTCTTCACTGACTTAGGCATAAGGAAACATCTTCTCTTTGATGGCTGTGAACTTGAATTTCTGTTTTTCTGTTTTGTGTAGAGGTGGTGGAGCATGCGTGTGGAATGGCAACTTTGCAGATGGGTGAGTATGGGTCTAATGTATCAAATGGAATTGATACCTATAGCCTAAGGGAACCTCTGGGTGTTTGTGCCGGGATTTGTCCATTCAACTTCCCTGCAATGATTCCCTTGTGGGTAAGCATGTTCCTATTTTTTTTTCTCCTTACATAGTTTCCAAACATTTAAGTGCATTTCTTAAATTTCTTTACAGTTTTTGAACTTGGTTGTCTTATCCTTGACTTCTACCTTGCTCGAGGAATCACTTGTTTTCACGTAACAACTCGATGTGATCAAGAAAGCTTTTGAACTGTGATTAGAATGACACAATTGTTAGTCATTAGATGGCCAGCTTTATGGGCTGTTTTGTATCAACTACCTTTTCATGTATCGTTCTCCCTTTCCCCATGCATCTCTGTGGGTTTTTTTGGGTGGGGACATGGAATAGGTGTTAAGCTTAAGTTTCAGAAAATATGAGCATCTTTATATAGTTTACACGAATTTGGTGCAGATGTTTCCTGTTGCAGCTACTTGTGGCAACACCTTCATTCTTAAGCCTTCAGAGAAGGACCCAGGTAGCTGTTTCCATATTTTTCAATTATTATAGCATAAGATGTTGCAACATTTATGGGTAGAGGTTCATGTACCAGTTGTGTAAAGCATATAGTGTATATAACTTTAAAAAAAGAGCATCATTTATGCTGCCTTCTGCATTTGACTCATTTTGTTTAATCATTTGGTTTCAGGGGCTTCCATGATGTTGGCAGAGTTGGCAATGGAGGCTGGTTTGCCTGATGGTGTTCTAAATATTGTTCATGGAACCCATGTATGTCTTTTCCTAGAATTGCTAGTGATGTGTTTTTCTGCCCTTTTATTTTAGTCCAATAATTATATGGGTTCTATCTGGCCTTCTTATTCTATATTTTAAACAGCACCAAAGGATTGAGTAAAACTATGTAGTGAATATCCATTTTATCCTGCTACATAGAAAAGTATATTGATGCTTCCTGGGAGGCATTTTCTTTGCCACGTCCTATCCATCCATACCCTTTTTATGAACATGGATTTATTGGAATTAGTAGTAGAGATATTTATATGGGTTTGACTGGCATAATTATGGATATTCATGATACCTCTGTCTTGCAGGATGTTGTTAATGCTATATGTGATGATGACGATATCAGAGCCGTATCATTTGTTGGCTCAAATCAAGTGAGTACTGTATTGATTTATTGACACCTTAAGCCACAATTATTAAGTACTTTTTGGATGGATGGGAGGAGGTGTATCTAGGTTGAGCATAGCTTGTCTTCTTTATACTCTCTCTAGTAATGATCTGCCACTACTATAATTTTCTGGTTTTAGTTAAATCTCTATCCGGAAAGGTGTTGCCACTGTTGTGAATGTTGCTGGACCTTACGAATGAAATTGTTAGTGATTTAGAAATTTAATTGCAGATAACCATCTCGGTATTTTGAGATAGTCTAGTATGAAGCATTGACAAGTTTTCCTTGAACTTGAATGCGCTATAGATAATTTGGGGGCATTTGTAGAGAACCTCATTTTTCTGTAGGTACTCTACTTTTGAATAGTACCTTGTATACCTTGAATTTTCCCAGCAATCCAATGAAATTATTATCTTATCAAAAGATAGGGAAAAGAAATCTAGGTTCTCCATATTTTGTCAATAAAGATTCTTTTAGTGGAATTTACATTTTCTTTTGCGCTAAAATAAATGACTAAATATTTTGGTAGTTGTCTCAATCTTAGTTTTCATGCTTTGTATGCGAGTGGTCAAGTATCTCCATTTGTCTTTGCCTCTTATAACTTTCACCCGTTTGCCATCAATAAGGTTTTGACACATCACAAAGGCAGGGTGGGTGGTGAAGCATATACTTAAGTTTAATACATCAATAAATGAACTCTTGGTTTCTTTTTCAAATGAAATCGGTTGTCGATAGATTTCTGATCCATTTTGAATCAGTTTGTTCTGCCTGTGGTATATTGACCATTCCTTGTTTTACTATTTCCCCTCAGGCTGGTATGCATATATATTCTAGAGCATCAGCTAAAGGAAAACGTGTTCAGGTCAGTGCAATATTACTAACTCTCCTCTCAACTGTATTTGCCAATGTGGCAAACATGTTTAACATCATTGTTAGTATTGAAGCTAAATACATAGCTGACCAACTGAAATGCCCTCAGTCCAATATGGGAGCCAAAAACCACGGGGTCGTCATGCCAGATGCAAACATAGATTCTACAGTAAATGCTTTAGTGGGGGCTGGTTTTGGTGCAGCAGGGCAAAGATGCATGGCATTGAGCACAGTGGTTTTTGTTGGTGACTCAAAACCTTGGTAACAGATTTACCTTATTATTACTCCACTTCACTGACGTCTTTTAGTTACAATTGACACCTTTGATGCATGACTACATTAAATCTTACAGGGAAGAAAAACTGTTGGAACGTGCAAAAACTCTGAAGGTCAATGCTGGAACAGAACCTGATGCAGATCTTGGTCCAGTAATTAGCAAGCAGGTGGGTACATGATTCAAGACTTGTACAAACAAGTTACTCAACAACTGCTGTTTTCAAATTTCCATGTTGATCATTCTGGACTGACCTTTTTCTGATACTACAGGCAAAAGAACGAGTATGTCGATTGGTTCAAAGTGGCGTTGATAGTGGAGCCAAATTATTGCTTGACGGAAGAGATATTGTGGTATCTAGTTATATCTGCTCATCTTTTAATTTTTGTTTCTGATAGCACCTAAGATGTTCTTTTTCATATAAATGCAAACTAAGGGGTGAGTTGATCAATGATAAAGATGTTCTAGGAAATGATGACACAAAGCTCAGAAGATGACTTTAAAATGTTTTTAAGTTAGTGGAATGAATATCTGAAACGCTATATATTTGACGTTTGTCGTAGACTCGGTATCCGTTTAATTTCAGTTATGTGTTGAAAAGGTATCTTGCCAATCAAACTGAGTGGAGGAGCTTGGCTATCAAACTGAGTTATGTTTGGCAAAATTGATCCCAGGCGAATGATGGCCGTGTGATGATGCAATTCCAGTGCCTTATATTCTGTTTGGCAGAATCGATTTTATTTCGGTTGCGCTACTATTAATTTACATGCATAAATTATGTCCAAATTCATAAGGTTAAGCAAGAGAAGGGCATTATACTATGTTCAAGAGATGATTGAGTACAGGGAACTAATTGCATAATTTCTTGCATCAAATAGCTACTCATTTATAAAACGAGCTGGAAAGTTTAATTTCTTTTACCCTGATGCCCAATAGGTCCCAGGATATGAAAAAGGCAATTTTGTTGGTCCCACAATCCTGTGTGGTGTCACTCCCGATATGGAATGTTACAAGGTAGTTGTCCTACATTCTCTAATTTCCCTCTTGATTTTCAGAACATGGCATAACCTACACATAATGTATATATGCTTTTTACAGGAGGAGATCTTTGGCCCAGTTCTTCTTTGCATGCAGGTTGGTTGTTAACCATTCCACCATGTAGCCTCACCTATACCTATCAAGTTATATACTAAACTAGAATTGTCATTTTGATATTCTCAGGCCAACAGCTTGGACGAGGCCATTAACATTGTTAACCAGAATATGTAATCCCCGTGCCCTGTTCTTTTTTCTTTCCTTCCCCAGCCTCAAACTCATTTTTCATGCAGTGTTTATGTCCTATACTAATATCCTTCTGCTTTTTCAGGTATGGTAATGGTGCTGCTATCTTTACCACATCTGGTGTAGCAGCGAGGAAGTTCCAAACAGAGATAGAGTCAGGCCAGGTATGAAATGCTGCTGCACGAACTTGTTAACATATGGAAAAAAAAAGAAGAAATGGTGCTAAATCCTCACTTAAAATTACGACTTCGTGGATGATATTCATTATGTGATATTTTGGGAACGCATGTCAAAAAATTTCTGTTTCCTGATTAAATTGTTGCTTCTTATTTCTGCTTCCTCTACAAGATTGGAATCAATGTTCCTATTCCAGTGCCATTGCCATTCTTCTCGTTTACTGGATCCAAGGCTTCCTTCGTTGGAGACCTCAATTTCTATGGTGAGGAACAATACTATACATTTTTTAGTCTTTAGGTAATGGTACTTGGTTTCCATTTGATTGTTTGGGATTTCATTGTAGGCAAGGCTGGAGTTCAGTTTTACACCCAAATCAAGACAGTTACACAGCAATGGAAGGACTTGTCAAGTGGTTCTGGCAACTCTCTAGCAATGCCAACTTCTCAGAAGTAATAAAAAACTTCAGAATAATACCCTCTTTAAAGTGCAATAAATTGCCCGTTTTGATCTTATACCCTGGTGTTACTTTTTTGTTACCAGATTTTATTTTCCCCCAGTATCCTATAATTATATTCTATCCTTCCACCACTTTTCATTGGTATCATAATTGAAACAAAAGATTCTCAATAATAAAACACAAGTTGATACTAGAATAAAAACTGAATTAAGCAAAATTTAGTTCCAAAAAGTGATGGGGAATATTGTTGTTGCACCAAAATGTTAAACGACATATGACAATAGGTAATCTTTTATGCCATCAGGCTAAGTTGACCTATAACAACAGGCAACTCTCATAGCAAACTTGCTTTGCAATGGAAACTTGGGATGTATTGAAATAACCAACCAAAATAGTCTAAGACGTTTCAGAATCAGTATAAGTCTCTTGAAGCTTTGCCAAGTGCCTCTTCCCCTTAAGATGTGCAATCATGTCAATCTCACCAGAGACTCTCAAGTTACAGAAAGTACACCACAACATAGCTTCAGCCCTGTGTTTTCTCCCTCGAAGATGGGATTGCAGTGTCAGCTCAGACCTGACTGTCACTTGACATATTTCACATGTCCACCTGCTCTGGAATACCGCTAGAGAAGAAGAAGTATCTGGGCATATTGCAACTGCTGGAATGACAGGTTTACTGAGAACCTGTATAGCTGAAGTTGATATGTTTTCAATCTGCAAACCATGTTAATCACCAGGTTTGCCAACAACTCTTTCTTGATTCATGAACAATATACAGATGGAAGATTATTCGAATACGAGTGGTGAAAATGCAACATACAAGAAAGTAATATAACCTGGTTTGATTCAGGCTGTAACTAGGCATTTTGATTATTCTATGAAGCAATCTAAACGATAACTAGAGGTAAAACCTTCATAACAAATGGACTAATAGCCTAGAAAATAAGGCTCCAAGTAATTTGGTAAATAATCAACAGTAACAACAGGCGTACCTTGTTTGCAATCAGAGAATCATTCTCATCAAGACAACTCTCTGCCACAGCCAAAAATGTCTCTTTGTTGATAGATACTGAATGCTTCTTCAGTTTTTTAAGCCATTCAGAACACAGATGAGTGATAGCATTGGGCAGTTTGAATTGCTAATATGGATGAACAAAAATTTGGTATAAATAAAACGCCCCATTTAACTGAGGTATCACCAACCAACACATGAAAAGTGATCTTACATACCACCACAGAAATACCCTGCAATATATAGTAGACAACCAAGATCAATTACACTATTAGTTTACGATACCAGCTGAGCTGAGAATCTATCATAAACAATTTCAAGATAACATTGATATTACTAGATACATTGTTGTTAAAGTATATGATACCAGTTAAAGAGCATGCCTAACTTACCACTCAACAAATTTTGCAAAAACATTCTCAAACAGAGAAATAAGAAAAAATACTATCCAATATGTGGCAACTTTCCTCTTGTCATATACACTGCCAGCCTCTATCGCTCGTATAGTCACAAATCTGCAGTAGTAACAAGAATTATTATTTTATTTTTTTTGTTAAAATTACCAAAATGAGACCATATTTAACTTTACTCTTTAATTTCTTTGTTGGATTAAATCAATAACAATTTGGGGTAATGACAATAGCCTGACTTACAGAGGATATCCTAGAGAAAGCATTGGCCTGCAAGAAACAATAAGAAAAATAAAATTAAGACAAGACTCTGAATATATCAAATCATAAATACATGCAAAAAAAAATGTAGTACTATATATAACATAATATACCCTAAGTATTTTAACTTTGGTTCAGTTATCATATTATTTATAATTGGTACTAAAGAATTACCAAGCAAGAAGCTTAATGCACACGATAGTAACACTGAGAAGATCCATTTTCAGTAAAACTTTTTTTTTTCTTAATTAGTTGATTATTTAAATTACGTGATCAGTCCCATTTTATACGACTTTTGAAGAGTAGAAGAAGATGAAAGGACTGAAATTTGAAATGCATTTGCTTTTTCTTATATTTTTGTCTTCTAATTAGTGGGAAAGAAATGGAAAAGCCAAAGTTAATGATATTTGGGAATCTAAAAATTTATTCATTCTATGCTCCCATTTAATTACTCTTACATTTTCTTTTTCAAAAATAATTAAATTCCTCAGATATTCTGTTATACTCCCTCTGATCTGTATCAAGTAAATTATTGGGTATGACAAGTCCTTAAGAAAAATATTGACATAACTTAGATGCTACTTTCCTCTAGTATCCTTTTAATTCTCAGAAAATAAAACGTAGAAGAAGAATCTCATTTGCCTAAGTACCCATTGCCTTTTGTAATAAGCACTAATATTTGTTTATAATATCTAATAATTCATTCAAATGTATTAACTAAAAATAATTGAGCATCTGAATCGGCCACTAATTCAACCAATCATTTGAACTTTGAACAATTCCCTTATTTTGGACTGTAAAAATACTCTCAACATTCACTTATAAAAGTAGTACTTAAATAAGAAAATTGTATAAAATAGCAAATTATTAATTCAAGTTAAATATTTTAGTCATAATTTATTTTATTTGTAATTCGCATCAAACATCGCATTTTCTTGTCATTTGATTCGGTGTACAATTAGTCAATTAGTCATTTCGGTTTAAAATGAATAAAATGCGTTTGAGTTTGTGTAAAGTGAGAGAGGAAAGTGTATATACACCGATACAAATACATATATATTTGTCTTATAAACTTATAATTATTACAAATACAAGATTTTATTATACAAACTATAATGTATAAATATATTTATACAAAACTGAACAGTTTGTATAAAATTGGATGTATCTAGCGAATTACATATATCAAAAGTTATTTGCTATGGAGCACAATTATTCAAACTATAGCTATAACGTACAAATATAATTTTTATGTTTGATATATGTGAAAGTTTACAGTTACATTTTGTTGATACATTAATGGAAAAATTAGTAAAAATTTAGGGCCCAACTACAAAAAAAACACAGAGTCCATGGCATATGCATCAAACTGGGCAGGCCCAGCCCATGACCCAAGTTTACATCTATTTGCAAGTTAAGGTTACGAGCCCTTTCTCACTTTTTATTTACTGATCAAATTTGTGATTTTGAAAAAACATAATGATAAGTGAAGTATGATTTTTTTAAATTTAAAAGGCATGCATCGTCATTTTTCTAATGTTTGATTTTCTTCCATGTTTTGTATAATCTTGATCGATTTCTCAAAATTTGGGTCGTACTATATTAGTGCATATCTTTTACGTATAATTTTACTTTAGATACATGATTTTTTTTAAAAGAAAAAAAAAATCTATACCGTGTTTGATATTTATTACAAGGTCTATTCATGCATTGTGGGATTCATTTATGGTGTTGATGCTCCAATTGGATTTTTCCATTACTGAGACTTGAATCTAAGATATTTACTGAGGTTGAAGAATCTCAATCATCTCACCACAACTCATATTATAACCGTCTATTTTTCAAAGCAAAAATAGAAAGAGGGGGATTTACTAACAAACAACCAAGATTTGCTCTTAAAAACAAAATGAATTACGAACAAACTGATAGTCAAATTTTATTAATTGAACCGACAAAATAAACTTAGTACAATCAACTATATTTAAGATCAAACTTTGTTGTGGTTGACCTAAATAATGTTGACAAATTAGGTCACTTACAAAGAAACTTCTTTCATATAATAATTGAAGCAGTAACATTCTCAATAATTAAACACAAGTTGATACTACGATAAAAACAGAAATGGGGAACACAGAGGGTTGAATTAAGTAAAACTTAGTTCGATAAACATATGACAATAGGTAATTAATTAGGAAAGTTTCACATATAACCACATAAAAATAATTAATTACTCTCCATAGCTATAGTTTGATAATTACAATTTGTAGCTACATGTTATATGGAGGAGAGAGGAGAGCGAGACTGCGAGAGAGGAGAGATGCGAGAGAGAGGAAAAGATTGGGAGAAAGATGGATTGTATAAGTATATTGGTTAGATAATTGTATATTATACATATGTATTTGTATATATGGCAAGAGAGATTGGGAGAAGGAGGAGAGAGTTGATCGAGACTGGGAGAGGGAGGATAGAGGTGAGAAGGATAGAGAGAGGGAGGATAGAGGCGAGCGAGAGAGGGGAGAGAGTGGAAGAGAGGTGAATTGTATATGTATATAATTGTATATTATACATATACATTTGTATATAGGCAAGCGAGATTGGGAGAGGGAGGAGAGAGACAAAGAGTGGGAGAGAGATGAGTTATATATGTATATAGGTTAAATTATTGTATATTATACATATGTATTTGTATATTCTGGTGAATTATACATATACAAACATGACTAATTATACAAATTCGAAGTCGGCCCACGTAATCAATGTATAATGTTAGTCCCAAATGGTAATTATAGAACACTATATCTATGATGAGTAATTAAATATTATAAGTTTGTTTTGTTGCGTAATTTTCCCATCTTTTATACCAGAAGGCTAAGTTGACCGATAAGACCACGTTTAATGCGCACATGACATTGAAGCCCAGAGGTGTTAGGGGACAATTTAGGGCCCAACTACAAAAAAACACGCAGTCCATGTTCTTCAAACTGGGCCGGCCCATCCCCTGACCCAAATTTACTTACAAAATGACACTGAAGCCAATCTATTGCAAGTTAAAAATTAAGAGCCCTTTCTCAGTTACCATTTACTGATCTACATTTCCTGTTATAAAACTATTTTTATACATTATGAATTTGTAATTTAGAAAAAACATAATGATTAAGTGAAGTATGTTTTTTAAATTTAAAAGGTGTGTATAGTAATTTCTTTGATATAATCTTCATTCTCTTCCAACTTTTGTGTAATCTTGATCGATCTCAAATTTTGGGTGGAGGTGCATATATTTTACGTTTTATCTTATTTTAGATGTATGGTTTATTTTTTAAATTTTCCACACCGTATTTGATAATTATTACGGGATATATTAATGCATTGCAAGATTCATTTATGATATTAACACTCTATTTGGATTTTTTTCATTGTTGAGACTTGAGTCAAAAATCTTACCAAGAGTAAAATAATCTCAATCATCCTACCACAACTTATATTATAAACGTCAATTTTTTAAAGCTTGACTTGCCACCAAACAACTAAGATTTTGCTCTAGAAAACAAAATGAGTTATGAATAAATTGATAGTCAAATTTCATTAATTGAACCGACAAAATAAACTCGGTACAATCAAGGGAATGATATTTAACATCAAATTTTGTTGTGGTTGACCTAAACAACGTTGACAAATATTCGTGCCAACTACAAAGAAACTTCTTCTTTCATATAGTATTAAAAATTCATATTACGTCCATTTTCTTACAACATTAATTTTTGCATGCAAATTCTAAAATATAGATTCCGTCTTTTTGCACATATTTTTCATTTCAACACTAATAAAAGCTTTTTCAATCAAAAATTTTTGTACGATTAAGTATATTAATTTTTCAATGGTTTTCTACCAAATCAGTTCACATGAAAAAATGCATAATAAAAAATAAATTTTCACTAGAAGTGAAAAGCTTTTAATTTTTATAACCGATTTAATTAAAATATTTATGAGAACACTCACTTGTGAGAAAATATGTAGTGATTTTTAAATAGTATAATAATTTAAAATGCACGTGATGATCGCTATTATCTTCATCACGTATGTATGTACAGTGTACATGTCATTCCATTACTTGAATAATACTTTAATTAAAAATAAGATATCTTTGTATAAGAAAGCTTAGCTCCTGCAGGCACATTTGGGGTCAAGTGCTTCTTTGTCTTTTCGATTGTCATCATTAAACAAAGGCTAAATTCTTTTAATTATCTGGTGTTATAAACTTATAATACTAGTAATTAAACCATCTTAACCTGAATATTTTTTTCTCTCTTTTTTTAAATATATAAGTTCCGTGGAGAACTGATGATACCTCACTTTTTTTAATTAAAAAAATGGAACACACGTCACATGCATTAGGGGGGCAAACACCACTTGATTTCCTTCTCATTCCATGTTACCTTGTCTACCAAGAAAAGAGGTTTAAAGCTTTTTTTTTCATCCATATTGTATTTTTTTTACCCTATAAAATTTGATTTGATACGAAATTTAAGAAGAAAAAAAATTTTTAATTAAATTTGTGATCTAAAAATAAGTTATAGATACTTAAATTACTGTCATTACGGACAAAATAAATATTCTAAAATTAAATTGTTATTTAAT